TGGCATAGACAAACTGATTGGCACCCATTGGTTGCCCAGCCTTTTGCCAAGATAACTGCCAAAAAATGCTGTGGGATTGCTTTGCTGCACTGGGAGCCTTGAATGTGCGCAAGGCATCATGAAATCAGCAGATTATCAGGTGTTTTGTAGTCCAATGTTTAACCCAGTGTCTAAGAACTGGGTGTCTATTGAAGGTTGTGGGTCTTCCCAGCAGGACAACGACACCAAACACACATCAAAAACCACCAAGGAATGGTTAACAAGAGATGCTGGACTATTCTGGAGTGGGCAGCGAAGAGTCCAGATCTGAAACATCCAAAACCTATGAAAACAGCAGTTGGTGGAGGGCATCCCTCAAATATTGAAGAATTAGAGCAGTTTGCTGCTGAAAAGTGGGCCAAATTGTAAGTAGAAAGGTGCAGCAAGCTCATTGATGGCTACAAGAAGTGTTTGTCTGCAGTTATCTTGGCCAAAGTCTGTGCAACCAAGTACTAGCTGCTAATCATTTGGTCTATACCATTTGTATTTATTTTCTAAATTAAAATTGTGAACTTAAGTTTACAAAAATAAATGTGGTTCTACAATGTTTAAATCCAATAAAAAGGTGTGGTAACCCACATTTTTATTTTTACATTTCAACTTATTTGAGAAGAAACAGGGAATTATTTAAGAAAAGTGCAAGGGTGCCAATATATTTGGCCTCAACTGTATGTGCGTATATGTGGTGTGAGTGTGTGCACCACCTCATGAAATCCAGATGAGAAGAGGGGAGGAGGAGAGGAGAAATGAGTCTCTGGGTTTCGGAGAGGAAGAGAGAGAAAAAGAGTGTTGTAAAGCTGTCAGCAGCACATGCAGCTCTCAATCATAGGGCTGTAGCACCAGGAGACATCCATTCAGAGAAGCACATGGAGAACATGGATGGATGTGTCTGTCTCACTACGTCATCCAAGACGTATGATAGACATCAGGGTCCGAATGTCCGTCAGACACAAGTACTGTATGTCTAGACAGTCTGTCTAGTCTGTCCGTCTGTCCGTCTGTCGCGTCTGTCCTGTCCTGTCTGTCGTCTGTCTGTCTGTCTGTCTGTCTGTCTGTCTGTCTGTCTGTCTGTCTGTCTGTCTGTCTGTCTGTCTGTCTGTCTGTCTGTTCTCCCTTCCGTCAGGCTCATTATAGTGTGTGTCTGTGTCTGAGTGTGTGTGTATGTGTGTTTGGGGTGTTCTGTCTGTCTGATCCTGTGTGTGTTTGTGTGTTCCAGTGGAGCACGATAAGGACTTCCTCCCCATCCGGCGGCACCACCGAGAGTTCCGTTTCGACCTATCACGTATCCCTGAGGGGGAGGCAGTCACCACCGCAGAGTTCCGCATCTATAAGGACTTCATCCACGAACGCTTTGACAATGAGACCTTCCGCATCAGTGTCTACCAGGTGCTGGAGGAACACAATGACAGGTGAGGGTGTGTATGTGTGTGTATGTGTGTGTGTGTGTGTGTGTGTGGTGTTTGGTTTTAGTGTACTTGTGGGGACCAGAAGTCCTCACAAGTAAAATAAGGAACATTCGGTCCCCATAAGGAAAAAGGCTATTTTAGGCTTAGAGTTTAGATTTAGGGTTACAAATAGGATTAGGGTTACAATTAGGGTTAGGGATTAGGGGGGGATAGGTTTTCGTTTTTCGTTTAGGGGTAGGGTTTGGGGTTAAGTTTAGGGTTAGGGTTAATTAAGGGTTCGGGGTTAGTAAAGGGTTATGTTAGTGGTTAGGGAAAATAGAATTAAGAATGGGAATCAATTGTTGGGTCCCACAAGGATAGTAAAACTCACGTGTGTGTGAACCAGAGCACTATGATACACTATCCATACTGTCAGTAGACTAACCCTGGTCTGGGAGGAATTAATGGATACATGAAGAAGAAGGAAAGAATATCAGAAAGGAACAGGAGGAGAAAAGAGAAAACCATCCCACCACTTGCTAGATAGTTTGGACAAGGATTTAAGGGATAGGAGACATTGAAATGTTTTTTCTCTGTCTGGTTGTGTTTCTTGCTCTCTCTCTCTGCTTCTCTCCTCTCTCTCTCTCTACGCTCACGCCAATCTCTCCTCTCTCTCCTCTCTCTCTCTCTCTCTCTCTGCTTCTCTCTGCTCTCACTCCTCTCTCTCCTCTCTCTCAACCTCTCTATGATTCCCTCTCTCTCTCTATTGGGTCTCTGCCTCTATGGGCCTCTCTCTCCCTCTCGCTCTCCTCTCTCTCTCTCTCTCTGTCTCCTCCTCCCTCTCCTCTCTCTCTCGCTCGCGTCTCGTCATCTCTCTGCCCGTCTCTCTCTCTGCCGTCTCTCATCTCTCTTCCTTCTTCTCGCGTCTGCGCTCATCTCTCCATCTCTCTTCATCTCTCTCTCCTCCGTCTCATCTCTTGCCATCTCTCATCTCCTCTCTCTCTCGGTCGTCTCGTCTCTTTCTTCTCTCTCTCTCTCTAATCTATCTCTCTCTCTCCCTCGTTCTCTCTTTCTCTGCCTCTCCCCCTCTCTGGCTCTCCCCCTTAATTCCAGTGTGTGAAGGACAGTGTGTTCAGTATACAGTCGTTTATAAAGCCATTATTATAAATTAAGGAAATGAAGTGTTCCCCTGGGCCCCACCATCTGGAGCCCTCCCTCCTCTCTCTCACCCTGATCTCGCTCCCTCACTCGCTTTTCTCCTCGGTCCCATGCTTCATTTTCGCTTGACCTCACTCAATCGTACATCCTTTCTAAGTATGCAGGCTTGTGTGTGTGTATGTGTGTGTGCCTTTGTATCTTTGTGCATGTATGCATAGTTGCGTCCCATGTGTGTCTATGTCTGTGTGTTTGTCTATGTATTTGTCTGTGTCTTTGTCTGTGTGTTTGTCTGTGTGATTGTCTGTGTGTTTTTACTCATGCATGGGTGTGTTTCTCCTCCAGGGAGTCAGACCTGTTTCTGTTGGACTCGCGGGTCATCTGGGCGGCTGAGGAGGGCTGGCTGGTGTTTGACTTGACAGTGACCAGTAACCAATGGGTCTTGAACCCTGGACACAACCTGGGCCTGCAGCTGGCTCTGGAGAGCACTGACGGTGAGTAGAGGGTATTAGAAGCGGTTCAGGAACCAGAGGGAGCTCTCTAAACCACAACTACAGTATGAGGGTTCAAACCCAATAGGAACCTGGGCCCATATCCATTTGGCGTCTTAAAGAGTATGAGCACTGATCTAGGATCAGGTCCCCCCTGTCCATCTACAGTATCATCCATTAATGAATTCTAAAAGCAAAAACTGATCCTAGATCAGCACCTCCACTTACTCCCTGAGATGCGTATGGAAATGGGCCGTGGCCTGGATTCAGCTTGGCTGGTGCGTAAAACCCACGAATCCAGATAAACAAAGAGGTGTAATGGGTTTGCATTCAAACACATGTCACATAAAGCGTTCTTCATAATTCAATGTTTTGTATTATTTTCACTGCATCAGGGATAGCGTACCCGAAACGTCTGTGTACACTATCCCTGATGCAGTGAAAATCATTCAAAACGTTGAATAATGAAGAAAGCTTTATGCGACATGTTTTTGAGTGCGAACCCATTACACCGCTTTGTTTATCTGGATTAATTTAAGGACAGGAGACCGCATGAACAGTATGACCTCAGTGCATACCAATGTCACATGCTCTATCACCACACAGCACAGAGACAGAGCACATTGATAGAGAATACAGGGCTTCATTATTTAACATCATTCACTATGCCCTCATCATCATTATCACCCATGCAGAAGAGATTCAAACAAACAACATGTAGTGTGGATATATTTCTATCGAGTCAAGTTTATCTTTTGAGCAGAGGAGAGATTGTTATCAGGACGGCAGGATGTTTCTAATTGACAAACAATAACAACAACGGCAGCATCACCAGTAGCACAGTATGACAGTGTTTCTGCGGAGACTGTTGTCTTCAGTCGCAGGATGTTAGGTGGAGAAAAACAAAACACAGTCTCACGTTAGGGACTGTGTGTGTATGTGTGTGGGTGTAAGTCTGTGTGTGCGTGTGTGTGTGTGTGTGTTGGGAGGGAGTATGGGCGGGCGTGTGCTGACAGGCGCGTGGATTCCGCTCGCTGTGGGCTGCTGGCAACCTGAGTTTACCTCGGCACCATCATCACAGGCACATTCCTCTGAGTGAACATCACACACACACACCCTAGACACTGTCAGATCCATTGGGAGAGAGTATTTCTCTTTGATGTCTGGTATTACTTTGGTGCTTGACATTTCCAAGGTCTAAACTGGAAGTGAACGAGAGAGCGAGCGATAGAGGAGAGAGAGGAGAGAGGAGGAGTGAGAGATAGCGAGAGAGAGAGTTAGGGAGGAGAATCTAGAGAGAGAGAAGGAGTGAGGAGATATTGAGGTAGAGAGGCATCCGCTCGCTCATCTCTTGCTCCTCGCTCTCTCTCTCTCTCATCTAGCTAGAGAGCGCTAGCTAGGAAGGGCTCGCGTCTAGCGCTTCTCCCTCCTCTATCTATCGCGCTCTCTCTATGCGCTCTGCTATTGCTCTCTCTCTCTCTCTCCGCGCGCGCGCTCTCGCGCGCCCTCTCGCTCTCTGCTCTCTCTGTCTGTCTCTCCCGTACATTTATGGAATTCAACCATCATCTCTGTGTAACAACCTCCCATTTCGGGGGATTTTTACACCGACTAAGAAATGGTTCTCATTAAGAGCCTGGTGGACCACACACACAACTTTATTAGAGAGACCCAGTCACACAACACATAGTCACCCACACACCCACGACACCCCCACACAAGATGAAAGTAAGCGTTACATTGGACGGTGTAAACCATTTGTATCCTGTACGTACAACTAATAATACTTGAAACTTGAAACACACATACACAGGCAATGTCTCTGACTCTCTGTCCTCTGTGTCTCCCCCTGCAGGTGTGAGTGTGAACCCGCGGGTGGCAGGGCTGATCGGCCGCAGTGGTCCTCAGAATAAACAGCCCTTCATGGTGGCCTTCTTCAAAGCCACCCGAGGTGCACCTGCGCAGCATCCGCTCGGCAACAGGGGGCACCAAACAACGCAACCCCAACCGCCTCCAAAGGAGCCAACAAGGGCCAGGAGGCACTCCGAGTGGCCAACATCGCAGGTAGGGACTGGGGGTTGAGGGGAAAGGGAAGCTTAGAGAATGTAGCCTACAGCAGTATATGTATCTGTTGATGGTCTTTTAAATGCCATTGTGATATGTTGGTAGATGCTGGTGTAGTGATGGCTGGCTCCAGGTGAAATGAGAGACAGATGGAGGCCAGAGCTATTACTGTCTACTACAGCCTCCTTACCAGAATTCTCCACATATCTCCAAGGGCCAACACACACGCTCACACACACACACACACACACACACACACACACACACACACACACACACACACACACACACACACACACACACACACACACACACACACACACACACACACACACACACACACACACACACACACACACACATATAACTCACACACACACGCGCACACACACACTTTCCCCCTCCAAGGCACTCTGAGAATGCCTTTGTTTCTGAACCTCCCGTAACAGAGCGTACGTAGTTCATGGGAGCCTTACGGTGTGAGGTGTGAGAGAGCTGTGTTTATGCAGAGCTCTGAAACATTACACCATAATGCCTGGGCTTCAAATTGCTGCCGTGTTTATTTACACGAGCCTTACGGAGTGGACAGACAGGGCCAAGAACTCAGCATGGAGCGAAGGCAGGGCCCACGTTTGTGGCGGAGTACATCTGCACTGTGTGTGCGTGTGTGAGGGGGTTGAGGGCTGGACCGGCCTAGCACACATGGGCCAAATGGGCCTGTTTGGAAGTTTGAATGGTCTTTTTTTAAGAGCTGATGAGAACCAGTCGTTCCTGATCATTCCCAATCCCAACGACTGACTGGGACAAATTTATGTTCCACAGAACCCGTGAGGGTTACCAGAGGGAGGGAGGGATGGAGGGAGAGAATGGAAAAGAGAAGGGAAAGAACGGAGTGGTGAAAGAGATGGGTTAAGGCGCTTTGTCCCCTCTCACATGTGTTCAATGCCGTGGAAGCCACAGAGGATACAGAAGGCACAGGGTCAAGGTCCCTAAACCTTGAACTACCCCTGAAGGTTTAGGCCTATTCAACATACACTGATTCCATGTACAGTAAGGTTCTATGTTTCCATGCAATAATATTGACAATGTTTTACACCCCTCTTTCTCTCTCCCCCAGAGAACAGCAGTGCTGATCAGAAGCAGGCGTGTAAGAAGCATGAGCTCTATGTCAGCTTCCGAGATCTGGGGTGGCAGGTACCGAGTGCACCCTACACATTCCTCTATGTCTCCCCCTTCGCTTCCGCTCCTTTTCTTTCATCCTCCCTCCCTCACTGTCTCTCCTTTTTTCTCACTCTCCTGCCCTTATTTCTTTCTCACCATTCTTTTCCTCCCTGTCCTCCCTAATGTCTTTTCTTAGCAGATACCTAAATCCAAAGTGATTTACAGGGCTCAATGTTGTCCATGATATCCATTTCAACAGCTGGGTAAACAGTAGGATATGCTAAGGAGAGGTGCAGACTTATTGCCTCCACAGTAAAATATGCACAATGAGTTCTGAGTTTAGAACCAGGAAGCTTGTTGTTACTACTACCATGACTACTGTGGAATGTATCGCATGCTGATTACACAATCCCAAGGAGGATAACAGTGTGCCTCTCTTTCTCTCTTTATCTGCCATCTCTCTCTCTTTCTCTCTCTTTATTTCCCTACCCTCTTTGTCTCTCTCTCTCTCTCTCTCTCTCTCTCTCTCTCTCTCTTCTCTCTCTCTCCTCTCTCTCTCTCTCTCTCTCTCGCTCCCTCTCTCAGGACTGGATCATAGCTCCAGAGGGCTATGCAGCGTACTACTGTGAAGGAGAGTGTGCCTTCCCTCTCAACTCCTACATGAACGCCACAAACCATGCCATCGTGCAGACACTAGTGAGTAACCTCTAAGAATAAACATTACTTTTTATTATCATTTGTATCATTCATGCAGTCAATGCACTAGAGAGCATCCACACAAAGACAAATGCATTGACATGTTATCATATCTTCATTCATTTATTTTCACTTGATGTTGTCTCCCTTACTCCAACCCCCACCTTTCTACTCCCTGTCCTTGTCCCCCCTCCCTGTGCAGGTCCACCTAATAAACCCAGACACCATTCCTAAGCCCTGCTGTGCCCCCACCCAGCTCCATGCCATCTCAGTGCTCTACTTTGATGACAGCTCCAATGTCATCCTCAAGAAGTATCGCAATATGGTGGTCAGAGCCTGTGGCTGCCATTAGACTACAGCCAACCTCTCAACACACACACGCACGCATGCATCTAAATGTCCCTCAACGCAGGTCACTTTCATCGAGACTCTAGACTTTCTTCCCCAGATTTACCTGAATGGACACATGAATGGACTACATATCCCAGTCTGCCTTGCTGAGCTTCTGGACGGGAGCTATATGAGGACCGGGCAGAATCATGCTTATTGAGTCCAACCTGGAACACACATACACACACACACACATTCTTCCTGTGCTTTCTACTGTGTATGAGACATTTTAAGCAGTGATTGTATAGTAATACACAGTCAACAATCTTTTGTTCATTTAAATATGTTTTATTGTAGGTCAGTCTATTTTTCTAGATGTTATTGATCGATTATGTTTTTGTATGGTTTTTATGACTAAAAGGCTATAGGAAGTGTGGATGCTCTATGGACTCTTCATTGGACAATACTGTGTAAATAGTTTTTTCAAAGAGAATGTATTATTTCATGGCTCGGATGTTTAGGGTAGGTCAAGTTTTCCTGTGTACTCCAGTGTCTAAATGACATGACGTATTTATGCAGACCTTGGGAATCATCTACAGTAAAGACAAAAAAGGGACACAAAAAAAAAAACAAGAGAGAGAGGCGAGATAGAGCTAGAGAGGACGAGAGAGAATCGATAGATCGAGAGAGAGAGTAGAGAGAGGTGTCGTAAGACGGATTAGCTATCTCGGAGGAGAGAGAGATAAGCGACTCCTCCTCTCTCTCTCTCTCTCTCTCTCTCTCTCTCTCTCTATCTATCTATCTATCTCTCGCTCTCGCTCTCTCTCTCTCTCATGCTCTTGCTCTCTCGCTCCTTCTCGGTTTCTCACCATGCTAGCTCTGTGAGTTGTTTTTCCTGCACAGTAACAGTGCTAAATCTGTCATCAGTATGGACCTATCACTACAGCCTTGTAATGGCAAATAACTCAGCCCGTTCCTCTCCGTATTCCAAACATTGTCTTAAAGACATGTTCTGATGTCATACGCACACTAGTGTATTGGACTCAGATAAGAATGCAAATTACATACAAGTTATTTTCAGAATGAAAATGCATTCCTATACTGTAGCTCTCCTTATAAGCTAGGCTTTGACTTGAGTGTTTTTCTTTTTACAATAAAAAGTGACACACAAGTCCTGGTGAAGTAATAAAACAGAGAGAGTTTCAGAAAAACAAAAGGAAGAGAAAGATGGGGAATGAGAGAGAGAGAGAGAGAGAGAGAGAGAGTGTGTGTCTAGGGTGTGTGTGTGTGTGTGTGTGTGTGTGTGTGTGTGTGCACCTGTGTACCATTACCTTGAGCACCACTAGTCTGTTGTGTGCCAGGTGGTTTTAGGATGGTCTGTTGTTTTATCCTCTGCTGTAAAGTCTGATGTCTATCTCTTCCTTATTTAAGAGGACTATTTATTGAGAGCTGAGGCTGGTATTCTCTGCCAATGCAGCATCTTGTTCACTCACAAAAGTCTTTGTTTTAATGCAAAACTGATTCAATAAAATCGGAGGGAGCATCACTGACTATCTGGTAGAGGATTATTTCACCCCCCATTACCATATTTCCTCACCTCTGGATTTTTCCTCTCTTCTCTTTTCTTTCCGCTCTTTGCTTTCTCCACTTTCTCCTCTTTCCTATCCCCTCTCACTCATCGCCCCTTTCCTCTCTCCTCTCTCCTCTTTCCCCTTGCCTCTTTCCTCTCCCCTCTGTCTTCTCCATCCTGTTCATGACATGGCCTGGCTTGGATTAGTGCTCCTCGCCATTCGCAGACTTCTTAATGGAGCTACATTTAGCCTGTGTGTGTGTGTGTGTGTGTATGTGCGTGTGTCACAGTGTGTTTCATGCCAAGAGTCTGGAGAACAGGGCAGTGTTTCAGCCTCCTCTAGGTCTAAACTTTTACACATAGCAATCTGTAACGACCTGGAGAAACATTGGGACCAATTCCATTTAAATGAAGTGACTGAGTTAGAATGGAACCAACTCCAGTGTATGTCAGTCCCATTCCTCAGACCACAGGTGTCAGGGGTCAATAGAGTGGTAATTTGGCTCTCAATCCTCTGCACCCAGAAGCTTTACTCCCCTACTCCCACCCTCTGCCTCCCCCAGCACTGCCCCCTTGCTGCCTGCCCCCAAACTTGACCCCGAACACTGCCTGTCTTCAGCCCTCATCAACTTTCCATCCTCAAGACCTGACCTCCAGCAGCACCAACCCACTGTAGAAATGAATGAGGGATCTCTATGGCCCACCCATCCATCACCACCTCTCCCTCTGACTTCCTCCTGGTGTCACATTGTTTTATGTCCCTACAGGCTCCACTGTTACCTCATCAGACTGATGAAGAGAAGGAACAGTTCTGTTTATTTATTCCTCCCCAGAGTCTGACACTTGATGACCCCATGCCATACATATACACACACAATCAAGCACGCAGACGACGCATACACACTTGCTCCTCTACTCTGGGGAGGGAAAGGGAGACCTGCCCTCTGGTGGGGAAGATCGTGTGTGTGTGTATCTGTGTGTAATGTGAGCTCAACGGTCCTTGTTCTTGTACTTTCGGTAGGCCAGACATTCACAATGACATTGGCCGTGTCCAAATAGGCATTTTGGGTATGCAAAAATAAAACGTTTTATAGTATGTGAGATGTAGAAGATTTAGTATGCTTTAAATACCAGGATGTCATACTTGTCAAACCCTGATCTGATTCACCTGTCTTGTGCTTGTCTCCACCCCACACCAGGTGTCTCCTATTTTCCCAATTTTCCCCTGTGTATTTATACCTGCATTTTCTGTCTGTCTGTTGCCAGTTCGTCTTGTTTTGCCAGGTCTTACCAGCATGTTTCCCGTTTCTCCAGTTCTCTAGTTCTTGTTTTCTAGTCTTCCCGGTTCCGACCTTTCTGCCTGTCCTGACCCTGAGCCTGCCTGCCGTTCTGTCCCTGATTGACTCTGCCTTGGATTACGAACCTCTGCCTGGCCTCGACCTGCCCTTTGCCTGCCCCTTGGTTTATAATAAATATTCTGAGAACCGAACTATCCGCCTTCTGTGTCTGCATCTGGGTCATATCCTGAGTCGTGATGATACTCTTTTCGACTTTTCATCTAATAGAACTTGCTGCACATTTTTGAGGAAGATAATCGTTTTTCCAGACTGTTTGACAACAGTTAATAATCAGATAAGGTGACGCACAGTACCAAAATGAACCAATGGCGGGAATCAACGCAACTGCACATTAGATTAAGCTTTCTCAGAATGGATGAGCCTAGTATGTTAAAATGTGTTGCTTACTGCACTTGTTTTTACTGAAGTGTACGTTCTAAATGGTATGTAGTACGATTAGTACACACTATGCAGTTTAGGTAAATAGTAGGCAAGCCAGATTTCGGACAAGGCTTCTTCAGTTGGTCTGAATGAAGGTATTGCTTCTTCTTTTTCATTGCTGGTAGTTAAAAGAGCAGCAGGAGGAGGATAACAACCCTCTTAATTCACACTTTCACTTTCACATGGAATTTGTGTTATCAGCTTTCAGTGTGTGGCAAGTTAGATCTTAGCCAATCAGAGCCAGTATACTGTGTGTGTGTGTGTGTGTGTGTGTGTGTGCTTGCACCTTTAAAGGTGATTTCCTATTTATTTTTAAACAAAATGATAAATATACCGTAGAAACACAACGATTCACATAAAGGTGAGATAGCCTCCTAAAGAGTTTAAGGAATATGAATACTGAGACAGCCAAGGAAAAAAGAGTAAAGAGCAATTTTAATGTTCTTGGAATGCACTCCATATCTATTTCTCAACAAGAATGAATTCACTGTAGATCAAATCAGATATATATTTTGTGTGCTAATTTGTTGTGACGTTGTCTGATTGTATTTCTTTGCATCAGAGGCTAAATTAATCTTCATTGTTACCACTGTGGTTAAAAACAGGAAACTAAACCTATAGAAGACAGAGAAACATGCGTACACACCCGTACCCACAAACCCTCCCCTCTTAACATTTTAAAGGAAGTGTGTATTGCCAGGCTATGATTGTGAAACAACATGACTACTCAACATGACAGATGTGGTGACCAGGGTCTATTGCACATTAATCTCAGGGGGTAGAGGGGTCCCCTCAATCCAATCTGAGAGGCTTCTTCTGTCAAACTCTCTCCTCTCATGTCATCTCAGTACTTCTTCACACAGACAGGGGGAGGAGTGAGAGGCACAATTTCTCACAGGACAGCCTTTAACTACTAAAAATGTATTTCAATGTTTTCAGTTACTTTCAACCAAGCTACGGCTTGTTCACTGCAGTGAATATCGGATAAATATTGAATACATTGAATGGATGAGCCTAGTATGTTAAAATGTGTTGCTTACTGCACTTGTTTTTACTGAAGAGTACGTTCTAAATGGTATGTAGTACGATTAGTACACACTATGCAGTTTAGGTAAATAGTAGGCAAGCCAGATTTCGGACAAGGCCAACTCCACATTATTCATTACGAGATGTAGTTGAGGTTTAGGGTTTAGTGAATGATTTGTCCCAAATACAATGCTTTTCGTTTTGGAAATATTTAGGACTAACGTATTCCTTGCTACCCATTCTGAAACTAACTGCAGCTCTTTGTTAAGTGTTGCAGTCATTTCATTTGCTGTACATTTACATTTTACATTTTAGTCATTTAGCAGACGCTCTTATCCAGAGCGACTTACAAATTGGTGCATTCAACTTATGATAGCCAGTGGGACAACCACTTTTTTTTGGGGGTGTTCAAGGATTACTTTATACTATTCCAGGTATTCCTTAAAGAGGTAGGGTTTCAAGTGTCTCCGGAAGCTGGTCAGTGACTCCGCTGTCCTGGCGTCGTGGGGGAGCTTGTTCCACTATTGCGGTGCCAGAGCAGCACATAGCTTTGACTGGGCTGAGCGGGAACTGTGCTTCCTTAGTGGTAGGGGAGCTAGCAGGCCAGAGGTGGATGAACATAGTGCCCTTGTTTGGGTGTAGGGTCTGATCAGAGCCTGAAGGTAAGGAGGTGCCGTTCCCCTCACAGCTCCGTAGGCAAGCACCATGGTCTTGTAGTAGATGTGAGCCTCAACTGGAAGCCAGTGGAGTGTGCGGAGGAGCGGGGTGACAGGAGAGAACTTGGGAAGGTCGAACACCAGACGGGCTGCAGCGTTCTGGATAAGTTGTAGGGGTTTAATGGCACAGGCAGGGAGCCCAGCCAACAGCGAGTTGCAGTAATCCTGACGGGAGATGACAAGTGCCTGGATTAGGACATGTACCGCTTTCTGTGTAAGGTAGGGACGTACTCTGCGAACGTTGTAGAGCATGAACCTGCAGGACTGGGTCACCGCTTTGATGTTAGCGGAGAACGACAGGGTGTTGTCCAGGGTCACGCCAAGGTTCTTTGCACTCTGGGAAGAGGACACAATGGAGTTGTCAACCGTGATGGCGAGATCATGGAGCGAGCAGTCCTTCCCCGGGAGGAAGAGCAGTTCCGTCTTGCCGAGGTTCAGCTTGAGGTGGTGATCTGACATCCACACTGATATGTCTGCCAGACATGCAGAGATGCGATTCGCCACCTGGTTATCAGAAGGGGGAAAGGAGAAGATTAATTGTGTGTCGTCTGCGTAGCAATGATAGGAGAGACCATGTGAGGATATGACAGAGCCAAGTGACTTGGTGTATAGAGAGAATAGGAGAGGGCCTAGAACTGAGCCCTGGGGGACACCAGTGGTGAGAGCACGTGGTGCGGAGACAGATTCTCGCCACGCCACCTGGTAGGAGCGACCTGTCAGGTAGGACGCAATCCAAGAGTGAGCAGCGCCGAAGATGCCCAACTCGGAGAGGGTGGAGACGAGGATCTGATGGTTCACAGTATCAAAGGCAGCGGATAGGTCTAGAAGGATAAGAGCAGAGGAGAGAGAGTTAGCTTTAGCAGTGCGGAGAGCCTCTGTGACACAGAGAAGAGCAGTCTCAGTTGAATGACCAGGCTTGAAACCTGACTGGTTTGGATCAAGAAGGTCATTCTGAGAGAGATAGCAAGAGAGTTGGCTAGAGACGGCACGCTCAATAGTTTTGGAGAGAAAAGAAAGAAGGGATACTGGTCTGTAGTTGTTGACATCGGAGGGATCGAAGGAATTTCTTTTTAGGAGGGGTGCAACTCTCGCTCTCTTGAAGACGGAAGGGACATGGCCAGCGGTCAAGGATGAGTTGATGAATGAGGTGAGGTAATGGAGAAGGTCTCCGGAAATGGTCTGGAGAAGAGAGGAGGGGATAGGGTCAAGCGGGCAGGTTGTTTGGCGGCCGGCCTTCACAAGTCGCAAGATTTCATTTGGAGAGAGAGGGGAGAAAGAAGTCCCATAGGGTAGGGCAGTGTGAGCAGGACCAGCAGTGTCATTTGACTTAATAAATGAGGATCGGATGTCATCCACAGAGGGAGGAGGGAGGGGGAGGAGGAGGAGGATTCAGCAGGGAGGAGAAGGTGGCAAAGAGCTTCCTAGGGTTAGAGGCAGAGGCTTGAAATTTAAAGTAGTCGAAAGTGGCTTTATCAGCGGAAACAGAGGAAGAGAATGTAGAGAGGAGGGAGTGAAAAGATGACAGGTCCGCAGGGAATCTAGTTTTCCTCCATTTCCGCTCGGCTGCCCGGAGCCCTCTTCTGTGAGCTCGCAATGAGTCGTCAAGCCACGGAGCAGGAGGGGAGGACCGTGCCGGCCAGGAGGATAGGGGACATAGAGAGTCAAAAGATGCAGAAAGGGAGGAGAGGAGGGTTGAGGAGGCAGAATCAGGAGAGGAGAAGGATTTAGCAGAGGGAAGAGATGATAGGATGGAAGAGGAGAGAGTAGTGGGAGAGAGAGAGCGAAGGTTGCGACGGCGCATTACCATCTGAGTAGGGGCAGAGTGAGTAGTGTTGGAGGAGAGCGAGAGAGAAAAGGATACAAAGTAGTGGTCGGAGACTTGGAGGGGAGTTGCAGTGAGATTAGTAGAAGAACAGCATCTAGTAAAGATGAGGTCAAGCGTATTGCCTGCCTTGTGAGTAGGGGGGGACGGTGAGAGGGTGAGGTCAAAAGAGAAGAGGAGTGGAAAGAAGGATGAAGAGAGAAATGAGTCAAAGGTAGACGTAGGGAGGTTAAAGTCACCCAGAACTGTGAGGGGTGAGCCATCCTCAGGAAAGGAACTTATCAAGGCGTCAAGCTCATTGATGAACTCTCCAAGGGAACCTGGAGGGAGATAAATGATAAGGATGTTAAGCTTGAATGGGCTAGTGACTGTGACAGCATGGAATTCAAATGAGGAGATAGACAGATGGGTCAGGGGAAAAAGAGAGAATGTCCACTTGGGAGAGAAGAGGATTCCTGTGCCACTACCCCGCTGACCAGATGCTCTCGGGGTATCCGAGAACACATGGTCAGACGAGGAGAGAGCAGTAGGAGTAGCAGTGTTTTCAGTGGTAATCCATGTTTCCGTCAGCGCCAAGAAGTCGAGGGACTAGAGGGTAGCATAGGCTGAGATGAACTCTGCCTTGTTGGCCGCAGAACGGCAGTTCCAGAGACTGCCGGAGACCTGGAGCTCCACGTGGGTTGTGCGTGCAGGGACCACCAGGTTAGAGTGGCAGCAGCCACGCGGTGTGAGGCGTTTGTATAGCCTGTGCGGAGAGGAGAGAACAGGGATAGACAGACGCATAGTTGACAGGCTACAGAAAATGGCTACAATAATGCAAAGGAGATCGGAATGAAATGAACTAAACATCTGGGAAAGCGAGAGAGCGGGGCCTCCCTCACTTACGTTACACTGAAACACCCAAATATAACTCTCCCAACTTCCACCTCAGAAACTATAATTGTTGTAAACTACAGCGGTTCAATGTTTTCTAGGAATAGACTAGCTTAGTTTTTTCAGCTAGCTAACTTGGTACAGTATTCTTCAGTGAAAACCGTCCAGGGCACCGAATCCTATGACGCCACAGCCAACTAGCATGCCAGCCTCCAACAACATGGTTTAGCACCAATACTCGGCCACAACAAACCACCAGTGTGTCAACACGCCAAGCAGATCATTCGTGTCCGTGTCATGCCCATATAAATAACAGTGCATGTGAAGAGTTTGTGTTTTTTTTAAATCAGAAATTATTGCTTATGGTTACCTTCATGTGTGTGTAAAATACTGTTCTCAGATTTTAATTAATAGATTTTAGATGTTTATGAAAATGTTTTTTTTTGTTGTTGCTGGAATTGAATGTTCATATCCTGAATATTTATATTTGACTGTGATATGTGGTTGTCTCATCTAGCTATCTTAAGATGAATGAATGCACTTGCATAAGTCGCTCTGGATAAGAACATCTGCTAAATGACTAAAATGTCAAATGTAAATGTTATACATCATATAGATTTCATATTACTGTATTAAATGATTTTTTTTATACATTTTTTAAAATGTTGATGTCACAATATATCATTTGTTACATTTGACTGTGTAAAACCTAGCAGTACTACTTATTCTCTGAGAGTGAGGCGGATATATAGGATTTTGTAAATGCTGAAATGAAACCATCAAGTGATAGATCTTAAAGGGAAAGCAAAAGGGGAATGGGATACCTAGTCAGTTGCACAACTGAATGTATTCAACCGAAATTAGTCCTCCGCATTTAACACAACCCCTATGAAATAAATACATGTCTGTCAATGCCATGCCATGATTAGATAGTGAAAAAACACACCAATCTCTTTAATAATTTCTTTAAACAATAAAAGCTGACTTACCAACATTTCTGAAAACGGACATATAGCGTTTTGGAATGAAACTCTTCATATGCTTACACTCAGTCTGTTCATCAGCCACCAACTTATAATTTTTTATTTGGCAGTCATATGTACTCAAATGCTTATTAATATTGTGTGTGTGTGTTTGCGTACCTGTGTGTGTGTGTTTGCTTACCTGTGTGTGTGTGTGTGTGTGTGTGTGTGTGTGTGTGTGTGTGTGTGTGTGTGCATGCACACCTTTATATGTTGTGTTTCGATCTACCAGGCGTGGGCAGTGTATAAGGGGAAGTATCGAGAGGGGAGGGACAAGGCAGACCCCACTTCCTGGAAGACTCGTCTCCGCTGTGCCCTCAACAAGAGCACAGACTTCCAGGAGGTCCCAGAGCACAGCCAGCTGGACGTCTCCGAGCCCTACAAGCCCTACTGCATCCAGGCAGAGACAGAGACAGAGACAGGCAGAGACTCAGGTACCAGTAGCCTCCATTTGCAGTCTCATCATTAAGTATGAGTCTAGAGAGCTCAGAGCCCTTTATGGGTTTAAAGTGTGATTAATTACTCTCTAACCCTCCTTCTCTCTCTCTCAGAATCTCTTCAGACTGAGAGTCAGGTGATAATCCAGACCGTGAGCTCCAGTGCTCACCTGAGGAACACCGTCACACACCATCCACAGGTAACGAAATGGTTTTGTCTTCAATTCTGTATGACAGGTGCATAGTTTCTGCCATCTAGAGGATAATGTTTGCAATAACTTTACATTTACATAGGGATGAAGTTTGCACACTTGCACTGAATGTTCCTTAACAAGTCAGATGATTTGCTGTGAATATGTGTGTCCCCTCAGTTTGGCTGCCATAGGGAATCAGAGGCAAGGGATGGAAGAGTCAACCCCAGTGGTCAGTATCAGCCTCCATGTACATGAGACTGGTAGCTGAATAACTGAACAATGTTGAATCAGATATGATATGTGTTTGTGTTCTCTCCCATCTAGGGGGTTTGGACCATGTGTACTACTGTTCCAACACAGGAACTCCCCAGATGGACAGCTCTGCTCCCTTTACCATATTCAGCCCCACATTACAGATCTCTGGTAAGACAATTACACTGCAGGGTTATTCAAATTTGAGTGGGTTAATGCTTGCTTGATTGATTGATTGAAGGCCCAATGTAGTCAAAAATGTGATTTTCCTGTGTTTTATATATGTATATATTTCCACACTATGAGGTTGGAATAATACTGTGAAATAGTAAAAATGATGATAATGCCCTTTTAGTGTAAGAGCTGTTTGATAAGACCGCCTGAAATGTCAGTCTATTTTGGTGGGATGGAGTTTTGGCCTGTCTGGTGACATCACCAGGCGGTAAATGAGTTAATAGACCAATAAGAAAGAGAGTTCCAAACCTCACAGCTAGTTTTCAGTTTTCCCCTCCCCACTCAAACCACTCCCAGACAGTTCTAGCAAAATTCTTGCTTTAGAATTGCTCTTTCCTAAGAAGCTATTTTTGTTTATTTTTGACCATTTTAATTGAAAACAATCACAGTAAGGTACTTAATTGTTATCCAGAAATGATATGATATTGAGATAAAAAAGGGCTGCATTTGGACCTTTAATTAGTATGTGTGTGTTTGCTTGGTTGCATCTGTGTCCAGACTTCCGTGTGCGGGTGTGTCTGTTCTACCAGGACCAGCTGGTAGTGGATGTGACCACCAGCACCCCAGATGGCTGTTTCATCCTGCAGGGTCAGGTGCCCCTGGGGAACGAGAGGATCTATGGCCCCTGCACAGCCCAACAGGTTCCCTTCCCCCCTCCAGGGGTCATCCACCTGCCCCCCTGTATCGCTGAGGCCATGGGCCACCTGCTGCCCCACCTGCAGAGGGGCGTCCTGGTGTGGGTGGCTCCAGATGGGGTGTTTATCAAGAGGTTCTGCCAGGGCAGGGTGTACTGGAGTGGCCCTCTGGCCCAGCACACAGACAGGCCCAACAAGCTGAACAGAGAGAGGACCTGCAAGCTGCTGAATACACCTATATTTCTGAAGGGTAGGGGCTTTACTAATACAACTTCTGTGTAGCAAACAGATGTGGTATGGTGAGATGGTGAACCTAGCTCCCTATCTATCCCTCTCTTATTCTCTCTCCATCCTTCTCCTTCTGTCTCTCCACCCCTCCCCTTCTCTCTGTCCACAGAGCTCCACGACTATCTCAAGGGGGCGGGACCCAAACCTCGCTATGAGATTGACCTCTGCTTTGGGGAGGAGTTTCCTGACGCGAGCCCCCTGAAAACCAGGAATCTGATCATTGCACAGGTGGCTAATGGGATGGGGTCAGGGGTCACTGTGCATTAGGGATTTCCTGTGCTACAGCAACTGACCCATTGCCTAGATTAGTGAGCCCCATTAGGTCAACGCTGTACAGTATGTTGATTTTGTAATTATGTTTTTAGTCTATACAATGTTATTATATTGTTATATAGTATTAATATGAAAAAAGTTTTTCACTCTATCAATCCAGGTTGTTCCCTGCCAGTTGAGCAGTAAACTGTAGGTATTCTAGCTACCAGCAGAGGTCCTCGTAGTCATAGTCAGTGACAATGTCTTCCTGTCTGTGTGTGTGTTGGTGTGCAGGTCGTGCCCCTGTTTGCTGTCGACCTACTGCAGAGGTGCCAGAGGGTGGGGCCATAGGAGAGACCACGCCTTCACACACACATCACCATGGGGGAGGAGGAAAAGGGTCAGTCACACCCCCTCCCCCAGCGCTGAGGAGACCAGGACCCCTTTCTGAGTAACCCCTTAGTAACATCCCTCCCTGGTACCCCCCTCCTGTACCAGCCTAGCCAGCCATGATAATGGGTGAGTCGAGTCTCGAGACACCCAAAGAGTGTCATTGTAGGCTTACTGTATGCCCTGTAGAAAGCACCATATACCTCAACCTTAGGAGCACAAAGAACAAGACAACACAAGACAGAAAGGAGAAAGTATGCTTGGAACAGATATCTCCCGCATAGGCTGTGTTTACACAGGCAGCCCAATTCTGAACATTTTTTCATTAATTGGTCTTTTGACCAATCAGATCAGCTCTGAAAAGGATCTGATGTGAAAAGATCTGATATGTTTGGTCAAAAGACCAATTAGCGGGAAAAAAAGATCAGAATTCAGCTGCCTGTGTAAACACAGCCATAGCTTTCTTAACGTACAGCAATTTTTTTACAGTTTAATTTTTTTGGTTTGACAAATGTAATCTACAGAGAAAGTCATCATTTTGCCAGTATACAGTATTATAGTTTGACATCTTTCGTCATTATTATCCTCAATTACATTGTGTGAGTAGAGAATGTTTGTACAGTATCTTATTTAATGTGAATAACGGCAGCAATAATCACATTTTACAAACAGCCAGTCTAGTAACTATAACAATGGTTTCATATCCATTGTGGGATTTATGGAACTGTCACAGACGTATAGACCTGCCTATAGATCAGGTTAATCATTACACATCTTTAAACCATTACAAATGATTTAAATTATACACCTTTTCTCTTGTGCCACGAATTAAAAGTTGTAGTATAAGTGCACACTACTTAAATGCTGCCATAGTTTAATGGGAACGTTTCAGTCACCGTCGGTCTTTATGCCATTATTATTAAATGTCATTATATGAGAGTATTGGACATTCTCTTTTTCCTATAACATAATTTGTCCCCTACACCTGTGATAGTACATTGTCTGTGTGTACAACACATTTGATCATGCATGTATGGGGTACGAAGTCACCTCATTCAGTATAAATTTATAAAGCTTTTTTTTATTTTTATAATTTCTAGCGAACATCATATAACAGACTCACAATTTTAAAAATATACAATTTTTATAGCTATAACATTTACAAAGAAAAAAAAAAACAGGTAAGGTTTTTGTTTTTGAAAAAACAAAAAAACAAAAAAAAAGTTGAAAAAACTAAAGTGAAAGAGTGTGCTGAATCAGAAAAGATACCCGTATCTGAGTTTTAAAATACTTTCAATCGTTTTTCCCTGCGCTCGAACATATACAGTACATGGAGAAACAAAGAGGAACAGAAGGGGTACAGAGTACAGGACAGAGGGGTCAAGTGTGTGTTCACAAAGCATCATGTTCCAACCTGTTATTAGCACCATTACTCTCCCGCCATTCCATCTTTTTTTTCCTTTTTTTTTTAAAATGGAAAAACACTCTCAGTGTCGAGGCGAGGTGACACAGACCCACCTGTGTGGGAGAGGATTGTCTGTTACGCAATTTTCATTTGTGTTTTTCCTTTTGCTGAGATAATGTTAAGAACATATTGGAGAGCAATACCTTGGCGAACAAGAGATTGACATGACCCCCCCGGTAACGAGAATAGTAAAAAGGCGAAGAGTTGCTGATACATTCATTTACCTTGCCTGCCCAGACCCACTGACCGATGGACTGACTGACTGACTGACAGTCAAACTTCGGCTCAGAAGAAGCGAGAAAATCAAAAACTGAGAACGCATTACGAAAGTGACAATCAGAGAGGTTTAGCATATTTATAGAACATCTGTAATGTAATATATAGTCATATATTTATATATATATATAGAGTTTACCTTCATAACCCTGATTGAAAATCGATACCCTGCAGAAAACACTGTCAGTAAGTAGGCGTGTGGGACAACCATTACAAAAACAGTGTCTCACTAAACGTCTCATTCTATCACTGTGGAGCTCTCTGGGAGACTGTTACCCCTGTCAGAGGTGTGCTAAGCAGAGAGAGGGGGAATGAGGGATGAAGAAAAAGGGGTATAGGCTCATACTTTGGGCAGCAGTGTGGACACAAGTAAAGTTGCATTTTCTTTGTCCTTCCCTGCAACCCTGCCTCGTGGTCTCTCTACTGTGTGGCCATGTGGGTGCTCTAGAGACAAGGAGGGTGTGTTTGTGCTTGCATGTGTGTGTTTTTGTGTGTGTGTGTGTGTGTAAGCTTTACTGCCGCTTCCTATGCTTGGAGCCGTGAGGTAAATCGGTGGTCTTGTCAGTTCCGGTAGCTTCCGTAGTTCCAGTAGGGGGTAAGAGGTCGGGGGCGGACCATCGCCTCTTGCGTGGGCGTGGCTGCTCCTGGGTGGGGGGGTCTGCAGGGGGTGGAGGGAGAGGAGGAGGGGCGAGAGCAGGGGAGAGATGAGGAAGAGGAGGAGGAGGGGGAGGAGGGGGCATATCCTCCCTGTGTGTGCTGGCCCCCACCCTGGCCCGAGTGTGTGTGCGGTGGCCCCGGGGGGCTGTGCGTGTGTGTGAGTGTGTGTGTGTACGAGGTGTGTGTGAGGGGGTGAGGGCAAGGCAGATGTCTCCCTCGCTGAGTTGGCGGCAGGATAGGCCGTAGAGCTGGGAGGTTCTCTGGGGACAGCAGGAAGACCAGCCGCGGTCCCGCACGAAGAACGGGTACTCCACCAGAACTGTTAGTAACTCCTACACACACAGAACAACAACAACATATTCACAACAGTGCTGGGATATACATCCTTTTTACTAAGGAGAATTATGATTTCAACAATCCTTGTTGTAAGATAATTTGTCATATGTTTACATGTTTGAGTGATTGGAGAGGATTGCAAACGTTTGCTTAAGTAGTGAATGACCAGTGCCTTTATTATAATATATTGTCTAGAAGTGACTCAGATAGAGAATAGAAATCTAGAAGATAGATGAGCCCCTGACCTGAGTGTTGCGGTCTGTGAGGAGGACCTGCAGGTGGTTGAAGCCGTGTGTGTCACTGGGGGCGATGAGCAGAACGGTGCAGGTGCTCAGGTGGAACTCCGGGGAGGTGTTGGCACTCCTTAGGAAGTCCTCCGTCCTCAGCTCCTCCACACGCTTCAGACGGCCCCCCGCCAGCTCAATCAGAGAACCCTTGGCAAAGTGAGGTAGGAGTGCTGGGGGGTTGTGGTGGGGTTGAGGGGCAGGGGGTGAGGCGGCCGAGTGGGGAAGGAGGGGGGAGGCGCGGGGACGTGAGTACTGCTGCCCAGGGGAAAGGTCTCCGCTGATTTTGTCTCTGTCTCGTTCACTGTCTCTCTCCCTGTTGTCTCTGTCTCGTTCATGTTCTCTCTCCCGGTTGTCTCTGTCTCGTTCATGTTCTCTCTCCCTGTTGTCTCTGTCTCGTTCATGTTCTCTCTCCCGGTCTTGATCTTGTTTTCTGTCTCGTTCTCTGTCTCGCTCTTGTTCCCTCTCTCTGTCGCTCTCTGTGCCGTGGCTGTTGGGCTGCCCCTGGGGTGAGTGTTGTGAGTTCCTCATGGTGTGCAGGCCGTATTGAGGGCTGCCCGAGGGGCTGTACAGGGGGTAGGGCTGAGCCTGGGGGCTGAGGTGGCTGGGCTGTAGGGTAGAGTACATCGAGCCCAGGGAGTAGTAGATCTGGGCCTTAGCTGGAGAGCCTCCCAGGGGGTCCAGCAGCTCCCCTCTCCCTGCCCGGGGGTCTGCCCGATGTGGCTGGGGCCTGCTAGGGATCAGGGTGAGGGACCCAGGCTTTGGCGTCCCACAGGGGTCCCTTTCCTGCAGAGAGGAATGTGAGTCAGGGCCCTCCGGAGGTAGCGCTCGGGAATCTCGGAAAACTGCAACCGGCTGGGAACGCCCCATGGGATCCTCCTGGTGTCTCCGCCGCCCGTTGGCATGGGAACAGTGGAGGCTGCCACCCAGCCTGGCCCTGCCACTGGGTTCGTTCCCGTACTCTCCTGAGGGGGGCACTACCCTGGAGGCAGAGGCAGTCCTGCTGCCCAGGCCGTCCAGCCCGTTGGGCCTCTTGCCCACATACCTGTGTCTGCCCTCAGTCATGGAGAAGTCATGGGGATAGAGGGAGGGCTGGATGAACTGGTGGGATTGGGAAAAGAGAGAGGAGCTGTAGTCCCTTCGGCCTGTGTTGAAATAGGACCACATCTCTCTGGAGTCAGCGGGGAAGGGGCTCTTGAAGGAGGAAGAGGATGAGGAGGGTGGAAGGGGAACGGGGATTTCACCTCGGAGCCATCTGGAATGATGGGGGAGTGGAGCAGGTATAGGATCATCCCTCCAGGAGGGCGAGCCCGACCCCCTCATTTCTCCTACCTGGCCTGGGAGGAAGGGAAGAGGGATGGAGGGGGGGTAGGCCAGTTGCCATGGCAGGGGGAGTGGGATACCAGGGGGTGGGAGGGGGGGTGGGGGAGAGGGTAGCAGACTGTGGGGGTTCGTCAGAGCCCCGTCGCTGCTCTCCCTGCCCCCCTCCCCCCTCCCTGAGCTGCTGGCGGGCCGGGTCCTGAGGGGCGCGGCGGGCGGTTTGAACTCGTCCAGTGGGGGGCGCTGGTCAACCGAGCCCTGCCGGGACTCCCTCTTCTTGGGGGGGAGGCACTCTTTGCCGCGGTCCGGGCTGGGATTCATGGGTGGGCGCCAGTGGCGGCGGGCGGGGGCGGCTAGGTTACATGGGCCTCACGGGAAAACGAGGGCCGCAGAGAGAGGGGAGGGCCTCGACACGACATCACTGTCAGATCACTGACACCCTAGCCCTGAACGACCTATCACCTACACAGAGAGACAGGAGGAGGAGGGAAGAGAGAGAGAGCGAACAAGAGAGGACGGAGATGAAGGGAGATAGCAGAGAGAAAGAGAGATTGAGTGAAGTGTGAACATCTCAGAGTGAAATGTGGACAGTGTGTCAGGCCTAGCTGTCAAGAACTGTTAGGACTAATCAGTCAGTCGTCTCTGATACCCACAAACAAGCAAACGCCAGATACAGATACAGGCAGAGTGATCTACTGTGAAAACAGACAGAGAATGTTCATCTCGCCTGTGCAACATTGTAATCAGGGGTACTCAAGTACTCTTTGAAAAGGTCCAGTCACACAAATTTCCTTGGTGGCAAGGTCCGAATGGATATTGTCATAGTAATAAACCCTCCACCTTACAACCCATTCGACTCCAAACTGTTCAAACTCCTCTTGTTGGCAGAGAGACCATTTTTGAAGTTTTAAAGCAACTTTCCTGCAATTTTACAAATTTTGCCATCGTGCAGAGACAATGTTGCCGTTTTTAAGCTCATTTGCCATTACATTTTAGTCATTTAGCAGATGCTCTTATCCAGAGCGACTTACAATTTTAGTGAGTGCATACATTTTTCATACTGGCCCCCCGTGGGAATCGAACCCACAACCCTGGCATTGCAAGCGCCATGCTCTACCAACTGAGATACAGGAGGCCATGGCTTATATGTGTTCATATTATACCAGGGGTCGAAGCCCCACTGAGTTCGTATTTTTTATTAGTTGGGACCCGTGGTCCGTTTTGACCCCGTTCTGGGTCCGGGTCCGGACAGCGGTCCACCTGTTGAGTATGGCTGCTGTAATCCTTTGGAGGTCGGATTGCAAATACAACAACGCAGAATTTACTGAATTGAGCCTGGAGTCTCTGAGGTCAATAGAACTTCAGAAAATCAACCCCCAACCCATTAAAACTACAAGCTTACGAACTCCTGCTCAACGCCTCCAGCTCAAGGGCGTTGTAGTTGCTACACATAATACATAAATTGTTGGTAATGTGGTGAGAAACTATCCAATTGACTGGTCTCATTCAAGAAGCACGTGAACTCCCACAAGTGTTCTAAAAATACAGCATGCATTGTGCGAACAGTGCAGTTCCGAGGCAGTGCAGCATAGCTGTAAAAACACACATGCTGTACACACTCCCAGCAGGAGACCTTTCATCTCTCTCTCTCTGAGGATTAAATATGGAGATATGGTTTATACTATTCTCACGAAGCGCCTCCCTCACACCCCTGAGGGCTGTTCCTCAATGTCTTATTTACTACTGTACGTACACACACGCACTCACGGAAGGAAAGCCCGCACACACACATATGAATGAAAAATGCGAGGAAGCACAGAAACACACACACACCCCTCAGGCAGCTATGACTCAATCTCACTCCCCCAGCGATGGACAGAGCTGGTCACCACCCACCCTAAACTGAGAGGAACGCTGTTGAAATCAACACAGGAGGTGGTGTGTGTGTGTGTGTGTCTTTGTGTGTGTGTTGATGTGAGAGTATCATTTGTTTCCTTGTATGTATCAGAGCTGAGCAGGCCTGTTTCATTCAGTGTGGAGCGCGTGGGAGTTCCGCTAATTCTTCTCCAAATGTTCTAAATGAGCTGCTTTGATGTGACGGCTCCACTGAGCACAGCTGTTCCTCCCGCCACCTTTACTGCCACCGCCGCACGCCGCCCGCCAGTCCTCCCTGCCACTCACCGCTCGGCTCGTCCGCACGCCTGTCTGCCCCGACTGAACTCTGCCAACTCTCCCCGTCTCGCTACGACACACTGTCGCCATGGAAACTGAGTCCACACAGGGAAGACATGTTACATTGGGATACTCTCTCTGGGGAGAGCCGGGCAAACTGTCGCTCATCAACTACTCAAAGTTCCACAAAAAAAACACTCAAAAAGAGGGTTGGAGCAGAGCGAAGTGGAGTGGAGTGTTCAGCTGTCTCAGTTGAAAGACTGCTGCTTGGTTCAATGTCAATCAATCACTCCATATAATCCTGAGTGGCGCAGTGGTCTAAGGCACTGCATCGCAGTGCTAACTGTGCCACTAGATCCTGGTTCGAATCCAGGCTCTGTCGCAGCCGGCCGCGACCGGGAGACTCATGGGCGGCGCACAATTCGTCCAGTGTAGGGGAGGGAATGGCCGGCAGGGATGTAGCTCAGTTGATAGAGCATGGCGTTTCCAATGCCAGGGTTGTGGGTTCGATTCCCACGGGGGGCCAGTATAAAAAAATAATAAAAAATATGTATTCACTAACTGTAAATCGCTCTGGATAAGAGCGTCTGCTAAATGACTTAAAATGTAAAAAAAAAAAAAATATGGATAAAAGATACACTACTGCAGGCATTGACTTAAGTGTTGAGGGGGTGGTTGGACAGTTTGGGATATACTGGGGCTTGAATTGTGTAGAATTAATGGGAATTGAACCGATATGTATTGAAAAGCACAACAGACTTCTGTGGAAAATAAGAACAGATTTCTGTGGTGAAGCAACAGCATTTTAGGACAATGCCACTTTGCAATTTAGCCCTTACATGTATTGATATAGATTTTTTAAAAGGTAGAGATAACACTAACTTACTGAAAGAACTAAGGCATCCATGGGAATCCGACATGCACGGGCAACAGCTGAAGTTTTTCACCCTGGAAAGTACCCAAACGCCTCAGGTCTCAGTCCAACTCACCAGTTGCTCACTTCAACAAAGTTTCAGAAATCAATCGTTTCCTGAGACCTAAGCAATTGTGAACTGCGAAATGGTATGTATAGAGCATTGTTGATGGACTGCTAGATATCAAAGTTTATCAGGAAGAAAATATGACTGCTCACTGCTTTAGGACAGTGTTGGTTTGCTTGACAATACACTCTCTGGGGCATGGTTGCAGTGAACAGTGTTCCCCAAAATAACACGGTAATACACCTGTGCCAGCTAATCCCATCAACCAGAGCCAGAAGGAGTAAAGAGGTCAAGTCAAATCAGTTCCAATGTGCCTGTCAGGCTTCCATCCCACAGCAGTGACAGAGGAATCATTTAGGCTGATTCTGATGCTCTCTGAGGAGAACCTTTACAGATTCACTCTAAAGCTAAAGAAAACTCCCTCATCTCCCACACAGCAGAGCTGATAAGGCACATGAACACAGACACACACAGACACAGCAACACACAGCCTTATCTCATAGCAGTGTGGTTGGATTATTGTGGTAATTTTTAAAGAACATTGTCAGACCAGTAAGTCTCACTCATTAGAATGAAAGGCACCATCCAAATATGTTGCTTCTACGTACTCAGAGCATGTATAATGCATATCAAGAATTACAAAACTGAGAAAATGAGCAATTCTAATAAACACAATCAAATATCAACATGCTTTGATGTCATTGAGAAATGTATGAATTGCAAAAGTGACATTTTGAAATATTGGCAAAATGCCTGAATTGCCGCTCATTCTTTCCATCGCTCTTCTCCCTCTCCTCTTCACAGGAGATAAAAGCAGTGTTGTATTAACCTAGTGCCCTGCATGACAATAAGACAGTCCCTCCATTCAGCATCTGACCACAGGGAGGACCCAGAATGACTCACAGCTATTCCACCTCCGCCATAAACAACTTGATCAACAGGTGCGACCATGCTGACATAAGACATACTGTATCTCCACTCCTACTCTGAAACAAGGTCTGTATGAAACTCAGTCAACCCATTTAAATACTTATCACAGATCTGATGTATAAAGAGAGAGTAAAGCATGAACTACAAGGGTCAATTTGCTATGCAGCAGCAAGTAGTCAAATTCATGTACAGCTAAACAACATTTCGACATAAAAAGAGCGGTTGAGAACGCAAGATAACAGATCGGTTGATGGAGTTGTTTGTAATGTAAAGTAACTGACCTTAGAGTGGGCTGTTGACCAGAGTGTTGTCCAGGTGTTGGTGGTTATACATGCTGCAGCCCTCCTGGGTTAAGAACCTCCAGGGGTTCAGGCGCCTCTCCACAGGCTGCTTCCTACTTTACCTCCACAGCGCCAATAGAAACACCAGCAACAGCTACCAGTCACACGCTGCCTCAGAGCTCCGTATATGTGAGAAATAGCACCAGCAAGACCACTGAGAAGCTGCGAGCTTGTGTGTGTCAGCGTGTGTATGTGCGTGAGCGTCTAACTGAGACTGTGTGTTTGTGTGTGTGTGTGTGTAGGGCTGAGGAAATGAGTAATATCTAGCAGTGAGAAACATGTCTGCTATGCAACGCGCCACATAAGCAGACCAGTTGCTGCTACCGCCCACTCGCCTTACTCACTGTGAAAGGGATGGACACACACACACACACACACACACACACACACATGCATATGCGTACACACTACGATCCTCTTTCTCACACTTCTACACAACTGTGTCTTGTCTTCAATAAGCAAGAGGGAAGAGAGAGGCAGAGAGATAGTTGATGAGTGGGTTGATGAGAGACAAGTGAGGGAAATGGGGGAGTCACATCCCACACACACTCTCAGACCCAGGCTTCAGCTGCTGCTTCTGACTCAAAGCTAGACCTCACATCTCTCTCTGCTAAACACACGCACACACACACACACACACACACACACACACACACACACACACACACACACACACACACACACACACACACACACACACACACTGCCCAAGGAGTGCATTGGAACAGACAGTGGAATGATTCAACCCGTTAGAGACTCATGATGTAGTATTGTGTAAAGGAGTTGCTGAACCATTGTGATGGCAGAGATCAATGATGAAGCCCATTTAGTGTCTGAATTGAAACAGCAGCCATTTAATATTGTTGAGACCCTTACAAAAAAATACACATGAAAAAAA